CCCCCCCACCCCCCCGAACAGAACCGTCATCCATCAGCTTTGTCTTCAGCTGGCTCGGCTCCTGAATCACTGATGATGTTACAGCCGCTGCTGTGCCCCGAGGGGGGGAGCAAAAAGAGCTGGGAATTAACGGGAGGAAGGGCATCGTTCTCACTTCATCAAGCGCAGGCTGAGCTGAGCCGGGGGTTGGCAGAGGGGACTGAGCCAGCCCTGAGAACTTGTGCTGCTCCAGAGCTCCCCGTGGGGAGAGGGAGGCGGGTAATCCCGAGGGAATATTCCTAAAGAAGCCCCTGAGCTTTCCTGGAGGTGGGAGCTCAGCAGTTCCTTGCCCCCCTCCTCTGTGTCCTCCCTTCCCGCAGCTGGAGGGGGCAGGAGCTCCCGGGGGTCATTTCCAGCAGTGATGGGATATTTGAGGAGGAGGAGGGACCCACACCCAGGCTGAACCTTCACCCCTAAAATCACGGAGCAGCAGCACGATTGGAGCCAATGGAATGTGGAGTGGGGGTGGGTTTATGGCTGTCCCCAAAGCCCCATCCCTGGTGCCAACCCCCCTCCCACTGTGGGGCACAAGCCCCCGTGGCCACATCCTGCAGCTTCCCAGAGCAGGGCCATGGACCATCCCTGGTGCTTGGACAAATCCCAGCCTCTCCCTTCATCCCAAAGCCTTCCTCTGTCATCACTTGGAAAGACTGAGGAAGATGAGCTTGAAGGTCCCTTCCAACCCAGGGCATTCCGTGATTCCCTGGGGATGGTTTCTGCTTCAGTGATACATCTTCCCCCTTCTCCCATTTCAAGGTGGGCTCAAATCCCTTGGGAGCTGCTGGGATGGGTTGGTGCCTCTCCTGGGCTGCCCCAGCCATTGCACAGGGACTGGTGGCATCTTTGAGATTCAAATCTCTTAAGCCAAAAAACCTTTCTCTGGACAGATCAAAACTGATGAGAAGGTTTGCAAGAAAATACTCCAGCCAAAAAAAAAAACCCCACTGGAAAACCTTGAAAAAATTCAGAATTCAGCAATTCTTTGGAGAAAAAAAAAGAAAAAGTAGTTAAATCGTGATGGGAGAAATCCCCCCAGATGTGATGCTGTGTTTTTGCTCCAGTGGAGCTCCCTCAGCCAGCCAAGGACCAGTCCCTGGTTTGCAGGTGGGTTGGAAGCCACCTGCCATCCCAGCTGGGTGACAGGGGGACAAGGGACGTGTCCATTCACCTCCTCCAGTCACCTGCACCAGGAGCAAACCCCAAAAAAGGAGGAACTGGGAGGATCTCCCATCCCAGGAGATGTTCTCGTGCCAGGAAGTGTTGGTGGGAACGTGGCAGAGGTGGCACTACCCACCTCCAGCAGCAAACCACTGGGCTGAATGAAGCTGCTGAGAAGCTCCACATGGCCCAGCCGAGGGCTCTGGCAGCCCCAAAATCCACCCTGTCCTAAAGGG